TATATATATATATATATATATATATATATATATATATATATATATATATATATATATATATATATATATATATATATATATATATATATATATATATATATATATATATATATATATATATATATATATATATATATATATATATATATATATATATATATATATATATATATTTATATATATTACTAAATGCATACCCTCGGGGTAACGTTAAACACACGAATACATCTCACCTCCATAGACAATGCCACTTTATTGGCAAATAGTCGCTGATTTCCCACCCATCCTCGTAGAAGAGCGGGAGCCGCTTGGTTCGCTGCTTGCATCTTTTTTACAAACGTGAAGCAAAAGGATCTCTAATGAGCTAATGTTCGTCTGTAAGATATAATTGCGAAAATATATATTTATATGTGCTGTTAGGCGTTATTACTTTATTATATCAGTCAGGCGTTTATTATAGGCCGTCATCAAGGTAGAACTGTTCATTACTTCACTTGACTGAAGTGCGGGGTCCCGGTCCTCTGGGCCCTGAGGCCTGGAGAGTCCTGGACATGCTGAGTGATGCAGTCCTGGACACCTGATCCCTGGGGCCTGGACTCCAGACTCCAGAGAGATTCCATCGCAGCTTCCCTCGTAAATTTAAATATTCATTTTTGGAATGGTTATTTTTAGAACTGGATTTGCTCGGCTCTCTCACTGATGAGTCTGTAGTATTTTTAGAGTCTAGCTAGACTGAAGAGGCTGAAATGCAGGCCAGGGCAGCAGCTGATAAAGCAAATAACAATATATATATATGTGTATATCTTTTACTTCCACAGTAGGTCAGTTCCTGTAGTGTAATCGTAGTACATTCCCAAGTTCTCTCAACGATGTCTGCCGCACGTGCAGCTCAATCTCTCCACGTCTGTCGCTTATACCGCACTGCGCTCGGAGAAGCTCGGAGGTAGATTCACACTCACACGCCTTTACATTCAATTTATTCACACCAGTAGTATATGCATGTTCGCACACACACGCACACACACACATACATACACACACATACACACACACACATACACACACATACAC